TCATGGACCTATAAAACGCTGGGGGGCCACATAAAATGACATGGCGGGCCACATGTGGTCCGCGGGCCTTGAGTTTTACACATGTGCCTTACACCATGAAGACGATGTGGAAGTTCATCCTCAGAATTGGTTGGTGATCTGGTGGAGTCAGAGCCTCTTCTGAGACAGGAAAGTCTTTAGGTTTTCTAATGCCCGATTCCCTGGCAGAAACTGCCCTTTATTAAAGTCGAATAAAAGTTTCACAAATCCCTCTCCTGGTTTAAATATTCTGTTATTAGTTGAGAATAGTCCACTCCATGTTTGAAGAGTCTAGATGTTGTAGTTTGGTCAGCTAGGAATCTCCCTTTAGCTATTTCCCGAATCAGAACCTGCAATAGGAAACCAAAGTTGGCTTCATCTCATTGTTAGAGAGACCTGTAGTGCGGTATTGGATACACCATAAATGTATTGTTTATTGTTTATGCAATGCATGTTCTCTCTTTGTGTACGGCTCTCTTGGTCCATTACTTTATCCTCCAGTTTTATCTGTAGCTTTATTATTTCAGTGACGACATCCTCAATGTTCAAAATCCTTTCCTCCGCTTTTTCAGTCCAACTCAGCCTCATAAGTCTGGCGTTCATCTTTAGATTTTCTTCTTTGACTTTCCCCCAACTTTGCATTATTTTCCTGTCAAAAGCCTCTTATATCCTGTAACCCCATCTCCCATTCAGACATATTTCCAGTTAGTTGCATTAGCCGAGATGTTGGCAATATTTTCTGAGCTTTAAACTTGCACTTTTGGAACTTCGAAGCATCAGTTTTTGGAGTATTTTGCTGACCCCTGTCCCTTTTCACCTCTTTGCATACATTCTTGTTGCTTTAATGCAACAAGAATGTTTTCAAATTTTTTAGTTTTCTTGGGAGCCCGTTAATAGCGTGGTCATTACGTTGACACTCAAATCAGAATTCAAAGTGTCCGTTTTTAAAAATAAAATACTAATTATTTTAAAATCAATCCTTTACTGATCTAAAATAAATAAAAAACAACAAACTTTGTGATATTGATGCCAAATTATTTGGGAGTGATGAGCTTCTTAGTTCAGCTTACCTTCACTGTTAAATCTTAATAGCTGCTTCTCTGACTGTTGTTCGTTTCATCTTGATTAGGTACTGAGGTGATTAAGGTTGAGGCCACAGATGCTGATCAGCCAAATACTGACAACTCTGATATTGGGTACCGTATAATGAATCAGAAGCCAGAGCAGCCCAGTCCCAACATGTTTACCATCAACCCAAAAACTGGAGTCATCAGAGTCAACGAAGCTGGGCTGGACCGAGAGGTGAGAATTCTGACAGTTTTCACCCATCTGACTAAAATCAGAATTGGGCTACAATTAACGTGTATTTTTCTTATGAAATGCAAAGATTTTTGAAGATGATGTAGTTTCAAAAGCAGAAGTTATTGTCAAACAGGAATATAAACCCCAAGAAACAAAGTTACATTATTATTTCTAAATATTATGATCGATCATGCTGAGATTTATACCTTATAATTAACTTAAGTTGACATGAAAAGATGAGGCATTTCTTTAAAGTATGAAAACAGCAGTCTTTAGTTAACTAACTTAAGTTAGTTCTTCATTTGAAATATACATTTTTCAGGAAATGCATTTTAGCAGAGCACAAGGTTATTATAATTAAGAAAATATGCTGGATTATATCAAAAGTGTATTTGTTAAAGTTCATCACCTACGTCATTTTCGTCTGTGTCGGAGAGAGAGCAAGAGCTTCTCAGCACCATCTCAGAAATTTTAAACTACAAATCAAGATTTCTGATTGCTGCAGAGATGCAATGCACTCGTATCACTCTCAGTATATGCACAGAATACTGGGGGGAAAAAATAGACTGCCACAGTTTTTTAGCAAAATTGCAGGAAATTGAAGGTGCTTTACATTTTCACAAAGAAAAGTGTGGTTACTAAAACGCTCACATCTGCCACTTTTGCAACGTCCAGCGAAATGTGCAGCAGTGCTGTGATTGCAGTTTTTTGACCAATCTCTGCTTCCAATATTTAAAAATCCTGACCTGAGTTGACAACAGTTAAGTGACTATTGCTAACTGCAAACATGCAGTTTTCAGTTGGCAAACTGCTTGTTTGCAGCTTAATGTAGCATCGGCTACATAGCTTAATGTAGCATCCTAGCTTAATGTTGCATCGGCTTCCATGTTGTAAGTGGATGACTTTCAACACCTCTCTAAGTACAGCTGAAGCATATCAAGCTGCCAGGCTGTCTGAAGATGAATATTATTCATCAGGACTGGTCACAACATAAGACTGGTGTTTCTGTCTTATAAAGACTTGGTCTTCGGCTCTTCACTGAGATCAGCTTCATGCAGCTCAGCAAACGGGGCTACTAGTAACGGATAACTACTTCTCTAATAGAATTAACACAAATCATTCCTTCAGTTTATAGCCTTGTAAAATCCCTCCAGCAAGTCAGCAAGGTTTAAAATTGAAGCCAACTTACCTGTGTACCAAGCTCTGGTGTCCTTTGTGCTTGTGTTATTTCTGCCGGTTGGTGTTGCTCCACATGCACAACTGTAGAATGTTTCCTTGCTCTTCCTGGTGTCCAACTTTTTCCCACCTCTCCTGCAGTGTCCTGTATCAGATTCAATGTTCTCTCCTTTAAGCTACAAACACGCATACCTGTTGGCATGATTTCATTAAATCTTTTTTTATGTCATGTCATTTCTCTACTTGAAATCTTCTGATACGTTTCTCAGAATGAGCTTTGTACTGTTTGTTGGAGCCTAAATATTTTCTAAACTAAGTTTTTCTTAAAGGCATCTAAGCTCTGCAAGTGATAAATGAGAACTGAAGTAGTGCTGAATATTTTAGGAAGATGATTTTCTACAGTTCAGTGACAGCAAACTACAAGTGTCCTGTTTAATTAAAGTCAACATTCATTCAACAGAAAATTCCCGAGTATGAACTGCAAGTACAGGCAGCTGACATGAAGGGAGAAGGTTTGACTGCATTAACCAAAGTGATTATCAAAGTGACGGACAGCAACGATCACGCTCCAGTCTTTACACAGCCAGAAGAAGTAAGTAGAACACAACTTTATTATTATTAATTTTTATTAAAACATGTTACTTTAACGCGTGGCTTTGTTTGAAGATCTCCATTTATAAATTAGTTGCTCTTAAAACAAGAATATATTTTTTTAAATGGAGGACCATTTTACTCAGTTTTTCAATTTTTAAAATATTTTCTGTTTTATGCCTGTTTTGTTAAAAAAAATTCAAATTTTTGAAGGAGGAAAAACCCAAAATATGCAATATTTTTCAAAAATAAACAGCAAAATTGAATCTTTGATGTGGATGTTCCAGCCTTGACCAGGTCAAAAATTAACAGTATTGATGTTTACGCATTATTATTTTTGGAGTAATGAGAGTTAAAACTGACACACTTTACATTCTTGACCTGAAATGGTACATCTTACAAAAGAGCAGTAAAAATTCAATCTAATTTTTTTTCCCACTTTCCATCCATTCAATCTTTTCAATAACTTCAGATCTATACAGAGATATGAGGGTTTTCTCATTTTAAAAATCTTTTCTATGGTTTTATGCCTGTCATATAAAGCACTTTAAACTGTCTTGTTGCAGCTATAGAGATAAACTTAAATTTTTTTCCAGAAATTTTTTTTTTTTTTTGAAGGGGGGAAAACAAAATATGCAGTATTTTTAACATGTAGACAACAAAGATGCTGCTCCTCACCCAAATCATTCTGTATATTTACTGATGACCTCCCCTGTAGGTCTGAGAAGTGCAGGATTAGCTGCAAGAAGTCTGTAAAGAGAGATGAATGTAGTCAAAAGCCTGGAGATCCTGGAGTTGAGAGATGAGGAGAAAAGTATGACGGAGCCTTTTCATGTGTGGAAGACCACAGAATTTCCCTGTCTTTTTTTTTTTATTATCATCTTCATGGAGATTTCCCATCACCCATTGCTTCCTCCTCCTCTCAGTTGAAAGGATCCTCCTTTGCCAGGCTGCAATTCGTCCCCCTCATATGAATTTTGACTTCTGCTTATATTTACATCAGACATTTCATCCTCATCATCCTCAGACTTGCAATCTGGTAAATCTCCACACGGAGTTCTCTAGTCATGGCTGCAGCATTTTCTAGGTGGTAATTTCTCCGAGATAAACTAGCCTAACTGCATAAACACGCTGCTCCTCTCATCTAATAGGCTTTTTGCACCTACAGCGATGATGTCACATCCGTATTAGTGGCTTTCTTGCTTCCGCTTTGAGTTACCGTGACAGCTAGAAGAGACGGTCATATTTCAGAAGCAAATAAAGCAATACCATGAACATTGTCTTCCAAATATAATGGGCTTGAAACTATTTGTCGCGACAAGTTAAAGCTAACGCCGAGCAGCAAAGTTTGCAGCCTTCACTTCACTGCGGATCAGCTTCTTCAGCCTAATGCTACCGATGGGAGATGGATGGGAAAGAAAGGAGCCATCCCTGTGTTATTTCCATGGAATTACTTCTGTATTCAGCCTGAAAGAGCAAATGTATGGGAACGAGTGAGCAGATCACAGCCAGACAGCCGAGCAACTGATCCGCCTGTATACGCTGCTGTTAACACCATCCTATTTGAGCTCTTCACAAGAAGCATACAAAAGTAATAAAACGAAATAACACGGAGACCTTAAGGAACACGGCCATATTTTTCTAAAAGCAACAACTCCAAACCTGAACAGTCAGCTGAACTCGAACTCTGACACCAGTTATGCCCTACTTTTAAGCTATGGGGCTTCTTGTGCTTCCTCATGCTTTGGAAGCAAAAAGCCCGCACCATCATCTCCCCCGTTGCTTGGTCTCTGACATTAATGACAATAAACCCACATTACAGCAACATACTTGAAAATAAACACAAAATGCAGTAAAAACATTGTTCGGTAGAATGGATTAAAATGTTTAGATACTTAA